CAGACCGGTCGGTGGACATCCAGGCTTCTTGCCCTTGCCTTGTTGTGTGATCGCTGCTCCGGCCCACAATCTCAACGGCGTCAAAGTTGAAGATGTGTCCCATTTGCGCGGCATGGGTTGCTACCTCCGACTTTGGGTCCAACCTTCGCACGGCCAACTTATGCTCGTGCATTCGCGTTTGCAGCCGTCGGCCAGTTTCCCCAACGTAGTTACAACTTCCGCAGTTGTATTGGAGTCGGTTGACAACGGCCCACATCTCCTGCTTAGGGATCGGATCTTTCGGCCGCATCACTTGCCGGCGGATTGTTGAGTCAAGCCTGTGGGCAACACCTATTCCGAGTGGTGCGAGTGATCGAGCCACGACTTCGGAGACCCCTATAATGTACGGAATGCTCCGCCACGAGTTTGGCTGACTATGCTCATCGTTCCGTTTCTTTGGATGCCTCCGACTTCGTTCAGTGAATGCCCGCGGATAGCCATTGGTTCTGAAAAGTTCTCGGAGCAGCTTTATCTCATTCATTTTGGCGGCTGGCGTGCTGCAACGAGTTTCCACCCATCGGTACAGCGTGCGGACACAGCTTCGTTTGCGTTGTAGCGGGTAGTTGCTGTTGTAGCTGAGAATTTGCAGCGTGTTCGCCGGTTTTTTGTAGACCGACGTCGCTAGTTCGCCATTTGGTTGGCGGCAGACGAGAACATCCAAGAATGGAAGTCTGTCCTCTGCCTCCTCTTCCATCGTGAACTGTGATCGGGCATGTTTGAGTTCAGTACTTCCGCATAGTAGTTGATTTTATCCTAGTCTATGATTACGAAGGTGTGATCAACGTAGCGTGCCCAAAACTTGGGTTTGTACTCCTCGAATATTCGTCTCTCGAGTTTTTGTAGAACCGCCTCGGCAATGAGCCCGGAGATTGGTGAACCCATTGGAGTGCCTTTGGTCTGCTCGTATGTAGTCCCTTCGAAGGTAAAGAATGTCTTGAGGCAGTGCCCCATGAGTTCTACGAGATCCTCAGCTGTGGGCTGTCCATCGTCCCCGTCGTAATTTTGACGTAGCAGGTCACTGAGCGTTTCGACCGCAAGGGCCTTTGGTATGGACGTGAAGAGTGAGACGACGTCAAAAGGCACCATCCTTTCATTCGGTTCGATCGTGACTGCCCTTATTTTGTCAAGGAATTGTTCTGCTGAGTGCACCGTTGCTTGTGAGCCTGCAGTTAGGAATCTTAGCTTCTGAAATAGCCAGCTTGCAAGCCCGTATGTGGGTGTGCCTTGGAGTGAGACGATATGACGGAGGGAAACATCTGGCTTGTTTACTTTTGGGAGACCATAGAATCTTGCCATAGCGGTTTCTGCGGGCTTTGCCATATACCAGTCTTTGACGGTGATGACCTTGTCCTTTTTTAGTCGAGCCAGAATTATGTTAACCTTTGCCACTAGGGACTTTAGACTGGCGGCGTCGCCATAATAAGGAGTGCTGTGCACAGGACTTCCCAGTCCCTGAAGATGGGTAGACGAATAAACTACCCGAAACTTCGGATCTCAAATAAACCCCTCCCGGTGAACGCCCCCTCTTCTTTTGATATGCCTCATTGGAATCGCATTTTCACTACTATTGATGTGATATTACTCTATCTTGTGCTAAACCAGATATCTGTTTCTTCACAGTTTTGTCTAAGGTATATCATATACAAATGACTGTTATGAAAGACGCTGCTAAGTAGGCAATCTGCGTTCAACTATTTAATTTTCCCTTAGGTCAACATCTTTTGTTTAAATTATTTATAAGTGCTTGGTCGCAGACAGTGCTTTTGACGACCTGTAAGCCCTATAAATGATATGTTTTCCTCCCGAATTGCATTTTTCCGCATGTAAGACCCTTGAGCACTATGCGCTTGTCTACGCGGAGTAGGATTAACCGTCAAACAATAAATGCGAGAATGTTAATTTCCCGCAAAAATTATGAAACTGCGCACTTGATCTGCATATAAGCTATGGAAACGTAATCCCTCAGTTGGAAAGCGAAATGCTTTTGGGTGATAGAGGTAATGTGCAGAGGCGAGCCAAAACACTTCCTCACCAGGCATCTACATCGTCTAGGGATAAGGCAAAAAGCTTCAACAGATTTTAGGCCAAGATAACGATTCAGTCAAAGATCTTCCGATTGACAGCAAACCTCATGCGGCGCCGAAAATGACAGTGAGGATCCTCGGGTTTGTCAAGGAGCTTTTAAGCGTCAGCCAAAAATGCAATGTTTCGTAACTGTTATTTTTTCGCATCTGTTAACAGCCTGTGACAAGACGAGCGGTACGCAAATGGAAAACGAGCTGTAAATGGTAAACAGGGAGACCGGTATAGTACGGGTACGACAGATCTTTATGCACTCTTTAGGCATCTTCCGACACTGCATTACACTGATATGACGTTTGCTAAGCCCTTCTGAGTTAAAATGTGCACAAACATCTGGCTTTGAGACAGGCAGAGCTGTTGCCTGAAATGCGATTGCTGTAACTCACAGTTTCAGTGTAGCTGGTTGAAAGCAGTTACAAAGATGCAACTGACAAATCATTATTGGTAGTGCGAAATGCTTAGACCTCCTTAACAATGAAACAACTAGAACGTTAACGTTGCTTCCGGAACATAAGGCAGCATTGAGTGCACTTTCAAAACCGCTCACGTTCAATGCATTTATCTTATTATTTGTAATAGAAATCCTGAGTA